AAATGTTGCTTGCTGATCAGCTGTTCACGTCAGTAGACGTCAAAGCGTGATGGATACTCGTGAAATAGGGCATATTTGATCTCCCAGTATCAGTGAATTTCTGCGTAACCTATAATTACCAACATCCAGGCTACGCGGTCTTTTTATATCACATTCTATTATGAATACTGACGACAGTACATACTGATCGTGTTATTTCAATGTAACTAATAAATACTGATCATGTAACATTCGCCTGACATTACAGTATATTCAGATAAGAGATAGACCTGACATAAACAAGACCACGTGATCATCGAACGCTGTAACATTCGGCAGGGACGTATTAAGAGTCACGCAGTACATATTTTAGATAGTAGATGCTGCTTTGCGTAAATTTGTAGTAAATTAGCACAATTCGATGTGTATACGATTGGTGATGGATATAGGATCATGTGGGGCTGGGGTAAGAAATATATAATGATGTAAATATACATAAGGGTTTCAAAATTTTCGCTTCGATTTCCAGCTTCGGATGCCGACTGATGTTTGGTGAAATACAGTCGAATATAATCTCAAAATGGCGTTTAAATTAGCCTAAATTAAAAAATAATCGTATATCTCTTAAAATTGCTTTTAGAATATTGATTAGTATATTTTTTGATTTCTAGGTAAATATGTAACCAAATTAAAACGTTCAAAACGTAAAAAAATGTGCATGGTTGAACATTGTCAGAAAGTAGATTCTTGAATAGGTTTTGCCAAAATGGGTTCAAAAATGTCAATAATTAATTAAAAAATACAGTAGCTTTATAATTACTTATAACTTATCGAATTTGATGAACGACATCTTTTATTGGAAAGATGAGCTTGATGAGCTTTCATCATCGCTACTGCCTGAAGCACCAACGTCAATAATGAATGGCTCGACTTGTTCCTCTAAAATATTGTCCAGTTCCCACATTCTCTTTTCAACTTTGTATTTCACGTGCTTAATACAGTTTTCCCATTTTTGCGCTGTTATTAATTCTAGTGCTTCTTTGAAAAGTCTTTTGAGGTCACAAAATTTAAAAGTTGTATTATGCTTAGCTATATAATTTTTAACCTCTGCCCATATGAGCTCAATGGGATTGAGCTCGCAATGGTATGGAGGTAAACGGAGCACAGTTTTATTTTGACTTGCTGCCATTTCGTCAATGGCATATTTTTGATATTTCGCCTTGTGATCCTTGACAATTCTTAATAATTGTACTTACAGCATTGCTTCTTCAAAGTTGATATTTTTCGAGCGGAGCCAATTTTGAACATCAACTTTCCTTGAAGTCGTTGTTGGGACCGTCTCCATTCTTCGAGAATGATAAGGCGCATTATCCAACACAATTACTGCGTTTTCCTCTAAGTTCGGTAAAATTTTTGAAAACCACTGTTCAAACGATTCGCCATTCATTTCCTCGTGGTAATCTCCAGTTTTCTTAGACTCAAAGCACCACAGACCGTCAACAACAAATCCATCCTCACCGCCAATATGGCAGATAATGAGCCTTTTCCCTTTACCTGGAAATCGAAGTACTAACTGGTGTAGATTTATTTCAATAAGCGAACCTTTTTCAAATGTTTTCATCACATTCAGCGAAAAAACATTGTGACATGAGTATCAGATTGCTATAATTGGGATTATTTAGTCATATTGAAAGAAAGAATATTGAACGTCGTATAATTACTCAGCGCTTCACAATTTAATTTAAAGTTATAAACCTTTAAAAAATGAATGATCAGGAACCTGAAATACGCGCAAATATTAATATTAACAAATTATAACTTTATAAAGCTTAAAGTATGAATTAAAATGATTAGAAATATTAGGAACGGTACACAATATAAAACTTAGTAACTTTTTTTAAGTTTATAATATTCGACATATTTTAAGATTATATTAAAAAATTATTGAAATATCGAAAACACATAAAAACATGGCTTAAAAAAGTTCTAACAAATGAAAATGACAATAAAACATCCACGCATTTTATCGAAAGTTATAAAAGTTTTGTTACTTGTAATATGTTTTATCTGCCCCCTGGAATTAATGTTTAGAACCTTGTTCCCAAGGTTTGAAAAACATCCGATTGTTGTCTATTACTCGTATTTACCTGCTGGATTTTTTAATCCGGTGGACAGTCCATCTAGAAAGGCCCTCCTGGATGAAGTTACAGAATCATCAACCCATACTTTACTTGTAGTGTGTCCTGCGTTTACCCACGTTTCATCAAGGTAATAAATCTTCCTGTTTTGATTTCTATATTTCCCAATTTTTGTTAAATAATCCCTCCTCAATAGCACAATTTCTTCTCTATCCAGTAGTAAACTATTACGACCCCGTTTTTTCCATTTGAAATTTAAATGCTTCAGTAACGCATGGAAAGTTGATCGTTTGAAATTTGGCAACGTTGTATCTCCATTTACCTCCTGCAGTACTTTATCTATAGTAGGTATTTCATGCCTAAAGAAGAATTCATGCACTGTCCTCCTAATCGCATGCTTATCAGCTTCATCCAATGATTTAACAATACTTTTGCGATGTTTACTGGTCATTGGCACAGAAAAGGTGTGATTTTTTTTGTATTGTCTTAACACATTAAACACTGATGCGCGACACACCCCAACTTTGTGAGAAACCTTCACAACAATTTCTTTGATGGTTGATGCCTCGTTCTCCTCGCGCTCGATCTTATATACGTAGACCTTTTTCATTTCTGCACTCAGGTATCTTTTTTTATAGCGTTTCCTAGGTGGACTACAGGAGTTTACAACTTCATCGGCAGTATTTGTACTACTGGGCATTTTGCGCAAGCAGTTAATAACAATAACAATCAATAACAAGGTATAATAATAACAACGACAAACTCAACAACTTAATAAGATAACAAACGAAAACGTCCAAAGAAATATCAAATTGCAATGATGCACACGACATACGTAACACGTCTGAACCTGAATGTGACTCTGCCTTGATACGACTGCTCTGCCGCTCGGCATAGGCATTTAATTGCGAATTGACCAATGAGGGCTCCTGTTTTACGTCGAGACGGCGGCGCGAGCGTGAAAATCACCCGAACCTTTTGTTTACATCCGGTCTATCTCTTATCTGAATATACTGTAGTCAAATTTCTCTCCTTACGGTGGCTTCTTTCTTCTTTTCTTTCTACATGACGCTCTAAACTTTATGAGTTTTCTATTAGCTGTATCGACTGAACCCTCCATGCAAAAAAACAAGTAAGGAAGTGACGCGAAGAAAAAGTATAATAAGATTTATAAGATTTAGGATGATTAACGCTGATTTGCATGAGCATATTTTTACATTTAGTCTAATCATATAAGCAAATTTGTAAAGTCTGGTTTTATTAGTGCAAGTTATTCAAGAGGGTATTTAAAACATGGACGCATAAAATAGGAACACCAATTTTTGTGGTGAAAATTTTTATTTGACAACAAACAATGAGTAAACGTGTTTTTTGAGATTCAATCGAAAGTGCTGACAGTAACGAAACAACTTTTCTTATAAGACTTTTAGATATTTATGAGACCTACAAAATAAGATTACACGTGAAATTGTCCGACTAACAGCAGAAATATTATGGCCGATAAATGAGGAAAAATGCAGGTTTTGGCACTTGATGCACCGATAATTCCACGCCACTACTTGAAGTTCTTCAAATCCGTTGGATTCATACTTCTAAATAACAACAACAAAATTGGAGTATATCGGTCAAGTAGTTTTTTGAGAATTTCTAATTGTTTATCCCAGAACACCGTTCTTCCGGCCATCGCTACTAGTTTATTGAGCAATATACATTTTTCGTTCAAAGAGCATTTAATAGCAAAATACACATGTTTACCTTTCCGATATGAATCACAAATTTATTCCGAAATATAAATGTTATTTTTATGCGATAAACAAAGGATACCCTTTTTTCTTCTAAACAAATTCAAACATTTCGTGTTTGTGAGTAATTGAACAAATTCGCTACGATATTCGCAAAACATATTTTAAAACAAAACGGATGTGTTCATCATCTATTGTTGCGATTTACTCACAAATACGAAATGTGTGAATTCGTTTAGAAGAAAATACGTAACCCATCCTTTTTTGCATAAAAATAACATTTATCTTCCAGCTATAAACTGTCCTTTGAACTAATCCTGTATATTGCTCAATAAATCAGTAGTGATGACCGGAAAACAGGTGTTTTGGGATAGACAATTAGAAATTCTCAAAAACTACTTGACCAATCCACTCCAATTTTGTTGTTGTTATTCAGAAGTACGAATTTGAAGAATTTCAAATATCTACGAGAAACCATCGAAGAAATTAGCAACAAGTGCCAAGACCTGCAGTTTGCCTCGATTTTTTGCCATTGGTCGGAAATTTCCACGTGTGGTCTCATTTTGTAGGTCTCATAAATACCTAAAAATCTTATATGGAGATTTTTTCGTTCATGCCAACACTTCCGATTGAATCCCAAAAATCACGTTTTCTCATTCTTTGTTGTCGGATAAAAAGTTTTCCACAAAAATTGGTGTACCCATTTTATGCGTCCATGTTTTGAATACCCCCGTGAACAACTTGCAGCAATAAAACCAAACTTTACAATTATTTCGCAAACCCTAATATGATTAGACTAATTAGTGAAATGGAATGCAGGATATCTTGCTGTAACTTTGAAGGGGTTCTTCAGGTAGCAGCACTGTTACGGTACTGCTACTATTCGTGCTGCTTGATTACTGACAAAATCAGGTAATTCAATCTCATCAAAACACGAAAGGTTCACTGAACAGAAATATTACATTCACAGGAAATGACACGTAGCGCACGGAAAGTTTTCAAAAGACATGCACCCACATAAATAATAGAGCACGCCTTGCACAATACTGTAATTGCTCTTAACAGTTTATCTACAAGGTCAGTTAGTCGCTGTGGACCCACCACAAACAAATATATCTTCATTCTTCACTAATATGATTGCTATACACCATCTCTCTAGTGCTGAGTATATAAATAATAATAATAATAATCGATGTTGCTATACTTAACATGCATAACCTATTAAAAAGCCATCAATGACAATAAGCGAAAGTATACAGACCTAGGCAAATGAAATGAAGAGAATGTGGAATTTAGATGACGTCACAGTAGTACCAATTGTACTGTCTACTACGGGACTTATACCGAAGGATCTTCATAGAAGTATTGAAATACTAGGACTGCAACCAAATATTTTTAAGCTACTACAGAAAGCTGTTATATTGATCATCATCCGAATAATGCGACGATTCTTAAGCCAAGAATAGAAGAGAGTGCTTTGCACCTCGCGTTAACCAGGAAGAAAACCTAAGAAAAATTAGTTAAATACCTAGTAATATTAATAATAATAATAAATTGTCTTTATTCGATCCTTTTGCATAATATGTCCAACAAACAACAATAGGCATCTATAACTGACTAAAATTTTGAGAACCGAATCGGTGGAGTGTTACGATGATAGTATTTTGTTTGAACGACTCAAAAATTAAAAAAAATGATCAACAGTCTATTACTATTTATATGTTTATTGTTAAGCAAGATATGTGACCAATTAATTTCAAAACTGTGAAGGTAGATTGGGTAGCAGAGTGGTGAGGAAATGATTAAGTATGTACTGCTGAGTAACCACGACTTCAGCTTCTTTTTAAAATTATTCAGAGTGTAATTTCGAAATTCATATGAAAGATTATTGTATAACTTTCAGCAGTATAAGAGAACCTCGTTTTATGGAGGGTGGTTAGGTATAACTAACAATTTTCGATTTCTGGTAGCCAAGTTATTAATGTAGACTTGGCTTATATGATCAAATTTCCGTATATCTAGAGAAAAACGGTAACAAGAATTTTGTAGCCGTTGTAACTTGTCTTTATCACTTTTTATTATAGCTGTACGATATACACTTGCGCAGTATGAAACCCTTGAAATTATGAGAGTATCACACTATAGCATTTTCACTTGACTGTTTAACATATTTCTTTGAGGATATATTTGCTATGATTTTGAACATAGTTCTTTAATATGGAAATCAAATTTTAATTCATTGTCCAACCATAACCCTAAATTTTTGCTAGTGGTTACACAAAGTTGTTCTGCTATATTACGCTTATTTCTTGACTCAAAACGCGTTATTTTAGATTCATTAGTGTTTAGTGTCAAGTTATGAGTTGCAAAGATATTGAACGTAAATTAATTAGATTAAAACACATCGCAAATAGCAAAGTTGGAGTACTTATATTTGTGTATGATCTGCGTACTGATGAATTTTGCTTTATCTTGTAGTTTTGAAAAATCCGAAATGTGTATAGAAAATAAAAGAGGACTGAGAATGGAGCCTTGAGGTCACCCATTTTTAGGGCCGATTTAGTAGATAATTCGTTATTAATGGAGACATACTGATATCTTTTAGTATGAGTTGGGCGGCAGCAGAGCTAAATCCATAATATCTAGCTTGGCACACAAAATTTGTATTGCATCAAAAGCCTTCCTGTAATCAAACAAACAGCTTTACCGAAATCTAGTGAACTAACAATGCCATCGACCATACAAGCAAGCGCTATTGTTGTGTCACAAGAATTTTGAAACCCGATTGGACATGAGGTATAATGCATTTATTTCCGGCATTTTTTTAAAATTTGTCGCTCTATAATTTTCTCTAGAATTTTGGAAAATACTTGTAATATACTTATTGGTCCGAGGTCTGATATTTGTTTTACATTTGATACTTTGGGTGTAGGTAACACTTCTGAAATTTTCCACATATCTGGAAACATATTTTTCACACGAGGCAAATGTTAATAGTAAAAGTAATGTGATCGAGGGGGTGATCCTCAAGTAATCGCTTCTGTTGTTATTTGCTCGATGTATTTGGATATATCTGAGCGACATTTCTGGATCACTATGGTCGTAATTATGGTACTTTTAATGTAAACTTAGTTGGAATTGAGTTCTGTTCACTACTGGTAAATTTGAAAAGTATTCATTCGTTCATCTCAAATATGTATAGGACTGAAAGGGCTAGTTTCTTGTTGGTTGATACTCAAGTTTTATTCATATTTTGCGAATCTGATAATGCCCAAAATAAATACCAAAGGGTAAAATTCATATATTCTGGAAACCATGTAATAATAATGGATGAAACAGCAGTTCGAGCAGTGGCGTACCCATTTTTCAATATTCATAGGCTATGCTCTGCATAATCTGAAATAGATATGAAGAAAGAAAAACGGATAAATGGACTATATTTCACATTCACGTGTCTGTCCACTATTTCTAATGAACAAAAATGATCGATTTGGAAAATCCAATATTAGAATCAATTTGGAATGGACTTGGGACCAGATAGCACAGAAATGCGACTTGCTTTTTGGTTCGAAACTAGCAATGAGTGTTATATCGGATGAAGGCAATTTGAATATATTTATCTGGCCAAGGGTAGTCTGATGCCCCAAACTAATAAAGAACAAGCCAGTGGAGCTTGGTTGCCCAGAATAACTCCACATTCCGACAGAACCAATACTTGTATTATAGCCTAGGATCAGCTACAAAAGTCACGTGTGCCCTCAGAAACTAAGGCTTTCCTTATTACTACTGATTTATACACAGGTGGAAGTTAAGCTAGACTTGTGTTAACGAATACTATAATACTATCTCTGTACCTTTTGCCCAAGATGGACCCGGGCAAAGTGACCAACTTAGGTTTTCTGTTATTATTACAGGAACGTCAATTAGTGTAGAATTAGGTAACTTCTGAAATGATTCTTTGTTTATACATCTTAAGAGCGAACGATAGTTCTCAGATATTTGTAGCTAACAGGGGCATACATAGTAAAAAAACAGATTTAATGAATTAATCTTCTCGGACCCCCAGGGTAGAGTGAATACATATAACAATTGGTGAGGAATTTGATTTGATATAAAAAAGAATACACAGGTTGTCCCAAAGATCAATGGTCGCACTAAAGGGGATGATGACCCGTCGGTGCGAACGGGTCTCGAGACTGACCGTTACAAGAATTGTTATTGATGATTCGAACAGCCCTCCTCTGAACAACATCGAGCATGGACATGTAGTGGAGGCGACAGGGTCCCAACATATGTGAACAGCACACGAGGCTAGATCTTGTCTGGGCCTTGTCCAGAGTAAGGAGGTTGTGTGTAGAAGAGTACTGTTTTTGGATACGAATATTCAATTTTTCTTCCTTACAAAAATACTAGTGTTTTGTACTGTAGTTTAGCCATTATAGGCAGAAATATACTAAGTGACATAAATCCGAACACCCAGTTTAAATAGTTTTATTTTAATAATAGTTGGTGAATGTATTTATCTTACTGTAGATAACAAGTGAAAAAAAGTTCAGCCTTATCAGTTGGACATTTCGTTTTTTATACTGCTTTTTTTAATTCCCTAACGCGCTAAAAATGAATATTTCAGCCGCAGTAAAGAATCAACGTTGGCGGATGTTGGTTCTTGACATCCTTTACGATCGGTTACGATGCCTAGAGTACGGAGACCTGTACGATTTCCTCAACCTAGTGAGTTTGATAGGGGCTGTATAGTGGGACTTCGGGAAGCTGGACTTTCTTTTCGGGCAATTGCAGTTAGAGTGCAAAGAAGTGAGACACTGTGGTTAGGTGTTGTCAGGCATGACTTGGAGAAGGCCGTACGCAAAGAGCAAGGGGCACTGGACGCCGCCGTAGAACAACAGACCGTGAAGATCGCCGCCTAAGATTATTGGCCTTAAGGGACCGTTTCTCCACTACCAGGTCCATTGCAAATGAATGGTTTGCAGAACACGGAAGACCTATTGGCATGCGAAGTGTTTACCGACGAATGAGAAGTTTTGGCTTGTTTTCATACCGGCCACACTGGGTCCTACCTTTAACTCGAGAACACCGACATAATCGCCTTGAGTGGTGCAGACAACGGTCACTCTGGGATCAGGAATGGAACAGTATTGTCTTTAGTGACGAGTCTCGATTTTGTTTAGGCATGCACGATGGTCGTGCCAGGGTTAGAAGGCGACGTGGTGAAAGGAGGAATCCACAGTTTTTTGTTGAAAGACATGTTCATCACACTGTTGGAGTTATGGTTTGGGGTGCTATAGCTTATGGTTCCAGGTCACCTTTAATCTTCATCAGAAGTAACATGAACGCGCAGCGTTATATCCACGAAGTTCTAGAACCCCATCTTTTACCCTATCTTTACACCCTGGCAGATCCAACTTTCCAACAAGATAATGCCCGACCACATGTTGCAAAAGTCACAATAGACTTCTTTCAACATAATGATGTCACATTGTTACCATTGCCACCAAGATCTCCCGACTTATCCCCCAATTTGCAACGTCCTCCTCAGACTCTAGAAGCACTTCGAGAGGAGTTGGTGGTTGCCTGGAATGAGATACCACAGGAGGACATTGACCACCTGATCAGAAGCATGCCTGGCGCGTTGGAGAATGCGTAGCACATCAGGGTGCATCCACACATTATTAAAGGTCAAAGGGCTTTAAAGCAGTGCAATCATTTTGAAATTTTTATCATTTACTTATTATGCTTCACTAAGTACTTATACAAAATTTTATTAAAATAAAACCATTTAAACTGGGTGTTCGGATTTATATGTCACTTAGTATATTATTACACGTACCTTTACCATTCGTTTTATCTTAACCGGCTGGCTATCTGGCACATTATTGTAAAAGCAAAATGATGAAGAATTTAATTCTCTACAAAACTGTTTTTATAACTTTTTTACTCCGGAGCAGCGGTTTTCAAAATTTTTATCAAACGCAGGTTATAGAGACTGAAATGAATCGATTTCATTATACAAAATCTCAAAATCTCTTCGCGTATGAGGAAGATTGAACGAGAATGTCGCTTTGACCAAAATACTATCTTTGCCCGAGTTTTCCCATAATCCTCTTGTGAACTTGCCATGAGTGAAAGTAGTGCTTCAAGCTACATTTTTCTCTAGGATCTCCTCCACGGAAGCCTGTGGCAGATGCCTTTAAAACATATACTCAGTGACATTAAAAGTGTTAACCCCATAAAAAATAATTTCTGCAACTTGTCTTTTTGGCAACATAACGACTATGTGTGTATCTAAAGCATGCTGTGGCAGCAATGCCAGCGTTTTATCTTTACCTTTATTAAAATATAATCTCTTCGTTTTTGTGAAGGAAGCAGTTTCTGAGAGCTGAGTAGTACAGATATTTTTAGTTATTGCCCTTTCATTCACTAGTGTTAAGCACAACAAAATGCCTCAAGCTCGATAACGTCCAAATTATCGCCATGTTAGCGACTTTGACAGCGGAAGAATTATTACCTACCTATCGAGAAGTTGGTTTATCCTATCGCGAAATTGGCCGCCGTGTTAGTTATAGTACGATAACGGTATAGTGTGTGTGTGTCGTGTGCGGAATGACGAGGGTAGAGGAACACGAAGAAGCCAACTAGTCCACGGAGGCGTACCACAGTGCGTCAAGATAGGCGCTTCAGACAACTAACTCTACGAGACCGTTTTGCTACTACAGGTCAGATCGCTGACCAATGATTTGGAGGAGGTAGGCCTGTTACTATGCGTACACTCTGTCGCCGCATTCGCACTTTTGGACTTTTTTCATACTATCCACGGTAAGTGCTGCCTCTGACTGCGGAGGTGTTATGAACGTTTGAACTGGAGCAGAGAACGGCAACATTGGGAGACAGAATGGCATAGTGTCATCTTCAGCGACGAAGGACGCCGTCGTGGAGGATAGCGTGATATTGGATTTGCTGTTGAAAGGCATGTACACAGGACTGTTGGAGTAATGGTTTGGAGGAATATTGCCTATGGTAGCCAATGACCCCTTCTCTTTGTTCAAGGCAATATGACTGCTGCGCATTATGTTGATGACACGTCCTTTTTCAGCAAGGGAACACACGTTACCATATCTTCGTTCTTCGGAATTTCTTCAAAAAGCAGGCGTTATTGTTTTGCCGTGGTAGATTTAAATCCCATCAAACATGTGTGGAATATAATGGGGAGGAGACTATCCACTTTGGACTATCTGCCACAGACTCTGTCACAGTTAATATTCGAAGTTCGAGTTGCTTGGAATGAAGTGCTACAACCTGACATCGGTCATCCCATTTTGTCGATGCCTAGACGTACTCAATTTCGTGAAAATATCATCGTTTTATTCTTGATGTAAGACAACCTCAGTGCCAAAAAATCAAATTGAAGAAATTATTTATTCTGAGTACATCTCGTATAGACGCCACTGTATTAACTTTCAATAAACAACAACTCGTAACACGCATCTGTAATCTACTGGACGTGCTCAAAACTTAAATAGCTTTACTTTTATTATACATCCATGTACCCAACATTCTCTTCAATCACCTTTGAATAAGCTATCGGTCACTATGACTGTTCCGAAAATTATTAAAACTTTCAAGACAAGTGATATAAATTCAGAGAATGCTGAATTACCAGAAAAACAAGAATTTCACTCCAAGAATAAATCTGCAAATAAAATAGGGACAGACTACAACTTCAAGCGGCAGACTATATGGAAACTAGTATTGTTTTATGGAACTCTGCATGTTTTGGGATGGTACGGACTATACCGTGCTTGCGTTTACTGCCATACAGTCACAGTGCTTTATAGTAAGTTACAGTAGGTTAAGCTACATACACACAAGGATACAATGGATGTCATCTCCATCATTCTCTGTACAATACATTTACGTGTAAATCTTAAAGCCATATTTTACCATGCAAATGATAAGATGTTCTGGTTACGAAGGTTGACCTCTATGCTAGACCCCTGATCCCCTTATAATTGCTTATTTTTATTAATCAAAATACCAGGGTTGCCAAAATGTCAACTGTTTTGACGTTATGTGCTTTTTGGTTCATTTGTCTCTAACAAAAGTCTATCCTACTAATCAGAGATGTAATAAAAAGGGTATGGCACCCACTGGAATTCAGCCAAGTACCTATTATGACTGCTGGCCGGGATGCAGTTTCTTATGATATAGTCAAAAGGCTGGTGTCACGATATGTGATGTGGAAAAACATCATGTGAACATCAACATCGATCAGCCAGCCTTAGGGGTGCCCGAGCATTTAGTTATTCATTTAACATGGATCACCTGCAATGGTATCATAGGATCTATTTTGGGTCCAGTCTTGTTCTTCTTATAAAGTATGCCCAAAGAGTTTCGGCATAAACTATTTATCGATTTTTTAATGAAGAATTTTATTTAAATACTAACTAGCTATTATAAATTACAACTCAAATACTTAACTGGACGGAAATCAATTTCTCTCAAGTTCTAGTAAATTCGCCGCCTTATATGTGCTTTATCTTGGGTTTCCCAGCCTCCAGGATGAACCTTCCTAGACAATAAAGCCCAAAAATCCCCTATTGGGCGAGCCTGTGGCAAGCTTGGAGGATTATCGTTTTTGGGAACAAAATGTACAAATAGCGTTGTCGAAGCCAGTTTTGGGTATCTCTTGAGTAATGGCATACAGATTTTTTAAGGTCATTCACTTATAAGCTAAAATTTTCACGGTTTACTCTACATAGATTGAAATAGTTTTTACAGTAAAATGAATAATGAAATATAACCTCAATTTTTTTACCGCTATTCAAAGTTCAGGGATGGAAGAGATTTCTGACAAAAAAATGAATTTAAGATGTTTTGCGTTGATTTCTAATTAGCTCTGTTAAAAAGTGACATAACTATTGCGAAAACTAACCATTTAGCTCATCTCAAAAAAAATCACAGCCCTGTACCTAATGGCTTAGTTGTAATTGCGATTGAAATTTCATTTTCCCGTTTTTTTTTTCACAAAATTGCAAATATCTCCTTAACTATAAAATTTCGGACCACACATAATAGGAGTTCATTAGATATATTTTGAGGCCCGCTATCACCTGACTTCCGTTGATCCATTACTAACTTTACAACCTGTATATTACGTGCTCCGATTTCTGAGGCTTGTTACCTTCTCTTACAGGTATTATAGTTGGTGTCGCATCCCAGATAGGTATTAATATGGGCGCCCACAGGCTCTATGCTCACAGATCATTTAAGGCGAAACTACCTCTTCGCATAGCTCTTGTTATTTTGGACACCATTGCCGGGATGGTAATAGAATTTTTTTGAACAATGATAATGCATTTAACAGTTGTTTTAGTGGTAGATTATTGAACATGCTGTGCTTATGGATGAAATATTTTTAGTACACGTTGTACTACTGGGTCAGAGATCATAGACAACATCACAAATACACTGATACAGATGCGGACCCTCACAATTCTAGTAGGGGATTCTTTTTTTCACATGTCGGTTGGCTTATGAGTAAAAAGCACCCAGCTGTGAGAGAATATGGAAAAACAATAGATGTCCACGATTTAGAATCAGATAAGGCAGTCATGTTCCAGAAAAGGTATGTTGAACTTGAACAAAAGTTGTTAAAGCTTAAAAAAATGATTATTTTTCGACTTCGTTCTGAATGTAGGCAACCAGCATGACTATTTTTACTTTATATATTATATTTGACATTGTATCTTTCTGTTTTAGATATTACCTTCCTCTATATGTGTTTTTAAATTCAATCATAGTTGCAGTACCTGTATGGCTATGGAATGAAACTGCACTTAACTCGATATTCGCCTCCTACTTCTTCAGATACAGCTTGTTTTTCAATATAACAATGTGTGTCAACAGTTGGGCTCATTTCTTTGGAAGTAAACCGTATGATAAGTAAGTATAATACATGCTTTTTTAACTTGTAACCTATCAAATGCTTTTATGTTTTTTGTATTGATTTTCAATTTTTCTTTTTTTTTGGGTTAAATGGCAGCGTAGCACTATGCTAAACTTCGCCCCTTAAATTAAGACGATTTATTATTATATTTGTAATGTTACGAATACTCCCACACAGTGATCACCCTGTAGCGCCTTAGACGCGCCACACAGGTACCATATAGGTCGATAGATACCCTAAACCGCATCCGCTGAGAAATGTGGACATCCCCGGCAAATAATGCATAATATTCAAAGGTGTATTATTCGCTGCCGGTGGGGGTCGCTATTAACATAATCTTTTTTCTGTAGTGATCTGATATTTCTCAGTATAAAACATAATTATGAAAAATGAAAATACAATTTCCTCAGTCTTTGATTAATATTTTCTTACATATAACATACACAAATACATCCGAATTTTTTTCTTCAAGTACTAGGAAATAAATCTTTCTAAGCAAACCAACAACCTATAAATATTCTTCACATGAGCATCACTCCGAAACAGGTTTTTTTGCTTTTTGCCTTTACTCTATGCATTGCATAAGATACAAGTTTGTCAAGAGCCTGTTTTTAAGCTCAGAGGTTCGCATTTTCACATTAGTCAAGCAAAACTTATAAATTTTAGGAATATTCGCCCAGCAGAGTCCAACGTGCTATCCTTTCTGGTAGTGGGAGAAGGCTGGCATAACTACCACCACACGTTTCCTTGGGACTATCGAGCTGCTGAATTTGGTCTCCATTATAGCTTGACCACATTTCTGATCGACTTATCCAATAAATTTGGGTTGGCTTATGATTTGAAGTGTGCCTCAAAACAAATGGTTCAGAAGAGGTCATTAAGAACAGGTTAAAGGTCTCTTTGAGATACTTAGTCAAAAATTCCATATATGTTAAAAAATAATTCTGATATACTAGTTCTTATCTTATTAAAGTCGCGTTTCCTATATAATGTAACGAATACACTGTTTTACTGTACAAAGTCTAATTGATTACTTTTACCCTAATGCATAACACTTGTACCAATTTATGACAATTCATAAGCATGCTGACTGTACACGTTGTTCGACAGTCTCGACTGTGACTAACTGCTTCCGCTATCTGGGCGGGAATTTATCCCCCTATCGACACGTCGAGAAATGTTCCAGCTTTTTCCAGATCATGTCGTGAACTTCCATAGTTGTTTGCCTCAAAAAAGTGGAAAAATTCTAAAAGTATTGGCTGGTTGAATACTTGAATAGAGGAAGTTTGCTCGGAAAAGGAAATATGGACATAGTTAATCTATCAGAACGTGATTTAATTGGATTACTGAATTTAAACGGGACCGTACGGACGTCCATGACAAAGCACGCAGTGAACGCCTGAAAAATGATATACTATTTATAATGTCAATTGAAACAGCAAAAAGAAAGCCCGGAGTCCGAAAGAATGTTTGAAATATAATATAGTTAAGCTGTACAAGGGACCATAAAAACTACCTAATCTCTTGTCATGTTCGTACATAAGAAGTGGTACATGGGGCCATTTGTATCACGACGTAGTTGTCACGTTAAACAGTGTTGCGGTGGCCTACTATACTCGAGAGTGATAGAGTCAGCAAATATTTTGAGGGATGGTTTGTTATTGAACCGAAATCACAAAATGCCCTTCTGGCCTGATTAAAAAGAGTTATCTCTGGATCAAGAGAGACTGCTGTCGTCAAAGGCCACAACTCCCCCGTTTTTCCTCAAATTGGAGTGCACTTCCTAGTTCGAAAGCTAAAATGGTTAGTCTTCACCAAGAAAAGCATATAGTGGGGCCACCTGACTGCAGAAAAAGGTCAACGTCATCAATGTTGCTGTTAATAGTTGTCTGTGAAGGAGATTTTATCATAGATGTTGTTACCTCGAGTCCACCCTCTATCAGAGTATTCCAAGAGTGGAGTGAGCTTGTATCCGGAATTCTTATAACTCAAAAGATCCATCATCATTTCTTTGTTCTAAAAGGAAACGGGCAAAAGAAGAAAACCGACTACGTAGCTTATATGTATAAACATACGGACAATTTTAAGACACACTGAAAAAAGCTAAATGAATCTAGCAGTAGACGAAACTGTCCAAAACACATCAAGTTGCTAATTAAAAAAAAACTAAAAAAAGTATCTAAAACGCATTTGACACTCATTTTGTTCTGTTTAGCATCACTTACGTTGAACTTTATCTCATAACTCATCGGTGCCTCCTGTTGGGCCCTCTTGGGCCCTATCTGTCGGTTTGTGATGAACTACATACAGTGAAAGCCAAATTTGTCTGACGACTGAGAGCTCGATATGTATGAGACAGAAGCGCGAGAAGTGTGTATCAACCAGTGTTATATATTGACAACGCGGCACATTGCCGCGTCAGCGTTGCTAGGCACTGCGGCGATGAGCTTCGCTATCCAGTCGGTTACCATCTCTTTCTAACAAATGTGTCTATACACACCTTTATCTCATGCAAATTAAACTCAAGCCGTCAGACAAGTTTGATTCTCAGTGTATAGTACTTTTAAAGCCCCTCCTCCACGTTTTGATTTAAAAGGTCAAAATAGCAATGATTAAATTGATGCATAAATGTTATCTTACCGTGAAATTGGCGTCCGTATTGGCAATAAGCATGTTTTTCGAACTAAACTAGACGAATAGAAAAAAGCAGACGTGCAAACCAGTGAGTCATTTATTCGTATAACTCATACTAATTTATTTAAAGGCACTATATGGGATAAGTGAAAGTGGAATTTCTGTGATTTCCTTATTAATTTGTAACAGTCATTCGTGACGACGCTGCGAATGCAAACATTATTTATGTGATCGCAAGTTTGTATGCCAATGTGCATAATTTGTGTATATAATACAGTGCTTTTTAAAAAACTACCACCACCTTACTTTACTATTGAATAGGTCAAGATAGCAACATGAAATTCAGGGTCATGATGATGGAACTGAAGCATGAATAACAACAGTTGGAAACTTCAAGATGGCGAAATCTCGGAACACATTTTTGAATGGAACTGACTCATTGTACATTATTCGAAAATGGCGGTGTGGCGATCCGTCAAAGTTAAGCATTATTGTATATTGCTCGTAACGAACTATCCTAACTGACGAAATACCAAAAATTGAGATAACCCGTATATATACGTATTATTCCATGTCGGTTAATCTGACGAAGAGGCATAACTGTATATCTATTAGTGTAGGCAACACACCACTAACCCCTGGGTGTCTTATCTGCAAAGGTAAATATATAGTTCCCACGAAGAGACCTAAATGAAGATATGTAGGTCTCTTGGTGTGCAATAATCGTTGTTAGTATACGCACCTCGTTGGTCGAATCAAGTGAGGGAGACTCTGCCCACAGTGCAATTCATACTACGATAAAGGGAGGTGGAGATCTTTTTGAGCCCTCACAACTCTATCCGATTTTTGATTGGTCAGGAGACGCCAACATTATTTAGTAATCCCAATGAATTTTTTGACTTCAAGGAACTTTCGAAAGATTTAATAATGTTGTTCACACGGCAAACTGAGAAAGGGCAAGATATTAAATGGACGGGTATTATGGAGTACTAGTTAAAACAGTATTGAGTTTAAAATACTGATGAGAAATAGTAATAATATAAATGATATTAAACTAGAACAACTTGATAAGTAACCAGTAAAATTAACAAAAAAGAAGTGCTCTGACTTAATTTTGTTATGTGAAAATCCAACGCCCGTTGTACGCTTACCAGAATTTCAAAAATTTTTTAGAAATTTTCTTCATGAAACGGAATCAATTATTAATAATTTTGCCTTGTTTTGTGTATCATAATACATCAATATGTCATTTAAGTTAGTGGTTTTTCTTTTAGTTTTTTTTTTCAATAAAAATTGCTTTGACATATCGAGTTGTTTTCTTCATGTCATCACCTGATAGTTGTGTCATAATCTACATCAATTTTAGGCATGGACATTCAGGCAAATTTTGTAGGAGGTAGCCAAAATTCAAAAGTCCAACAGAACTTTTTTACATAAACTCTGCTATCAGCAGACCAACGATTACTGAAACAATTAAACAATCAACAAATTTTCTGAGATAATCGCGCACTTAGCTGGAAATATGATTCTTTGCTTATAAGTAAATGAAATGAATTCTGTATATCTTAAAGAAGTACATAAAGAACTTTAATAAAAATATATTTTAGATCTATCTGACAAAAAGCTTCTGAAAATTCTCACGAAGTGACCTACGTGCGTTTTCCAATTATTTCCAAAATAACCGCAAATATGGAATATATGATCGGCAATGAATATGGACTGATACACTGAAATTTTCAATTCGGAAATATCTAAACTTTACATACAATGCTCATTCAACAACACGCTGATTTTGTTTTTTTGCTCTCCTGTAAAATTTACTAAACGTTAGTCAGGAGACTTCGTGACAAAGCCGACGATATGTACTCGTATGTTACTTATTCTTTTGCAATGAGATATGGGAAATTTAATTAAAAAATGTTGACAGGTTTTGAGAATTTATTAAAATAGAATATGTTACTGCTCATTCAGATTAAAAATAAAAAGATTGGGATAACTTTCCAAAACGTTCTGATGCTGTGTTGTTACAAGAAATTTAATATGTACAAAAACACCCAGCATTGACAGGCTGCCGTTCGGCCATTTTGAAGGTTTAATGTTTTTTTATTATAGAGTACCCATAAGGGGCTTCAGAATGAGGCATCACATGATCCCGATACTGTTTGTTCCAAGATGGCGAACTACCGTTTCCTTGGAATGTTTAAGTGCGTTTTTTACGTAATCACGCATTAAATTGGCCAACTGCAATTTCAACTTGCTAGCTTTCCCATATTCAAAAAATGAATAGAGGGAGAACCTTTTTGAAATACACTGTATAGATGCATACGATTTAAATTATCTTTCTCAGTATAAATACGTTGTCCATGGTCTAGGTGTAATTTCTAGTATTTTCGAAGAAATTCTAGCAATGACAGCACAAAACATAAACAAAATTGATAAAACTAGTGATACAGCAAATGTTAGTGTGACAGCTCAGCATGAGCAAGGTTCAGATAACAAAAAAATAGGGACAGATTACAGCTTTAAAAGGGAGATAATATGGAAAGTGGCGTTTTTTTACGCTACTATATACCTGTTGGGATTTTATGGACTATACAGGACCTTATTCTATAGTTCGCGGCTCACAATGATTTACAGTAAGTTGAACAATATCATATAATATTACTTGAATAGGAGGCAAAAGCTCAAATTTTGATCCTATGGTTCATTTTTGAAGTCTTCAAAACTTAAATCTTATGCGAAGCTTCTTTATCAGTAAAAATTGTTAAAACTTACAACCTCCAGTGATAATGCAAGGCTTCAATGTCCTGCTTATCCAAATTATCATGTAATATACGTTTTTCACTGGAGTAGTGTGAGTGGCCTAATATCTCTATATAGTCCTACAAGAAAAAGTCTTCCGACCGAAAGTCCTGAGATCAGGAAGAGATCTTGTTTATGTTAAAGACCTTGGCAATATACCTAGTGCTTCAAATTCGAATCTCACCATTGGGATCTTGGAAAGGGATAGAGATACGAGGTCGCTTAAATAGGACCAAAGTTGAAAGAGTAGAAAAAGGTTTCAAAATTCAAAGTACTTACGGTGAGAGACGGAAAAGGTCAAATTTCCCCAAAGTCGACTTAATTTTTTTCTGACTTTAGCTGTTGTGTGATTTTAAAATAAATTGCACGTTATCATTGGCCACTTTTTCCCCTCCACAAGATAGCACAATCAGAATTTCAATACCTATGATTATCCTCCAGCATCAACGTTATTTTTTCTTAGGGACGTCATATTGGATTTTTGCACAGATGAATACAGTTTTTAATTCTGATCCCAAAAATGTATAACGTGTTTCAAATTGAACAAGAAATTCAAAAATAATTTTTATTTTGCTTAAAACAATTGGCATACTATTTTTTTCTTAAAAAATATCGAAGTCAATACCCATACGCACGCCACTGTTAAAGCTAAAAATAATTTTCACATTGAAAAATATGCAACTTTATTAACTTTCACTACGTACTAAATATCAGTGAAATATCTGAAGCGGTTCTGAAAATATTAATTAATTTCTATTTTTTTTCCTAAAACTTCAACACCCCGAGTTTCTGTAAGGAAACATTTTTGGACCATAGTCTATAAAGCAAACTAACATTAATTTGTCATGTAGATTCACACCCTTAAATATTCGCATACCATTCAGGAACACCCAGGGTGACTTCGAAGTTGAGTCATTTATTTTAACAGTGAGTAGATCTGATCAAAAGAAATGTTTTTTTCCTTTACCATTTTTCTGGTAAAATTAAAGTAACAAAGTTATAGCCCTTTGGAAGTTTGAGTACCGCCCTGTCTCAATAATAATATTATGTGCTCGTGTTTGGCGACAACGGATGTAATCCGCCTTATCGGTTCATCGCATCGGAAACAAAAAAGCGAAAGAATTTGCAACGATGTTTTTACAATTATTTTATTCATTTGTATACAGTCAGTGTCAGTCGGTAACGCGTGAGTGAATAGTGGTGTCTGTTGCGTGGCTCAAACGAAATAAAAAATGGCACATGTTTATGCGGATCGGTTTCCCAATCGAGTGCAACCAACCCCTCGTGCCTTTATTAATGTAGTACAACGGGCTCGTGAATCAGGTGACGGCATGCCGATACTCCAAGACCTCACGATCAAATACAGGTCCGCACTGAAATACTTGTCGGGAGGATACTTTATAAAACAAGGTAATTTTTTTTT